TGATTTTTGAGTGGTGTGAGAACCAGCCTACATACTAGGTAAAGAATTTGAATAGGAAGTTATTGATAGTTACATTTCACGCTTCATCTTCAAGCATAATATTTGTCTGCAGAAGTCAATATTTCATTTCTAATCATCAGAACAATATAAGACAGACCCTCGGTCTCTGTTTCTTTATAAAACAGCCTAAGCCTGAACCATTTATGACCTTCAGGGGGCTCCACATAATTAGCATGATTAAAGGAGCAGCATAATTTTAGCACCAGGGACTGAAAACCACAAATTGCTGCGGATCACATATTTTCCAAAAGAATACCATTCACATGATTGTTTTGTTCTAACTGTTTTTTAAATATTATTCCATTGCTTGGATTTGGGCTCCTAGTTGTAACAGATTGCCAGTTCCCAGATAAAATGTCTGACATTACAAAAATGTTTCCATTGCTCAGGGAAACTATTATTGGATTGCTCTAAAGTTTTAGGCTAAGTTTGATGTTTGTATTATGATACTGCTGAAAGAAATCATGGCTATAGGGGTATAGGTTGTAGCTATATTGGTCTAAGGACACAGGCAGACAAGGTTCTTTGGGTAAATCTGATATATTTTATTAGAATAATTAAATGGGAAAAAAAATTCTTAGTAAGCTTTTGGGTTTAAAAACCTTTTGTCAGGCTGAGAAAGTCTCTGCAGTTGGTGTGTGCTCTTCCTGGATGGAATGAGTAGTAAAGAAGCTAAAGGCTAGGATGCAGGCAAGAAAGCCAGTCACTGAAGATATAAATTGAGTTGTCAGTGGGTGAAAGACAGTTGGTGGGGGAGGGGTGGAAGGGGGATGAATGTAGCAGGTAAATAGTGGAGAGGTACCTGGGGAATCAGATGTTAGGCAGGTTATAATGTCATAAATCCAATGTCTATATTTAGTCCATGTTTTTTTGTATCCAGGAGATTGATGAAGTGAAGTTCATAGGCTCATTTGTGAAAAGTGTTTTGTAAATTCCCTTTGAGGATTAGAACTGAGAGACTGGAGAGAGAGAGGCTTTCTTGTGAGAAATGTGCCCTCACCAATAATTGGGTATTCTTGTCTTTGATAGATTTCCAGTGTGTGTTTATTCTGGTGCGCAGTTGTTGTTTGGAATGCATACTGGAAATCTATTAAAGACAAGAATACCCAATTACTGGTGGGGGTACATTTCTCACAAGAAAACCACTCTCTTTGCAATCTCTCAGTTCTAATCCACAAAGAGAATTTACAAAAGACTTTTCATAGATGAGCCTATGAACTTCACTTCATCAACCTCCTGGATACAAAAAATCATGGACCCAGCCTCTAGCTTCTTTACTACTCATTCCATCCAGGAAAAGCGCACACCAACTGCAGAGACTTCCTCAGCCTGACAAAAGGTTTTTAAACCCAAAAGTTTGCTAAGAACAAAAATTTCCAACTATTTAGTTAGCCTAATAAAAGATACCAGATTTACCCAAAGAACCATCATGGCTCTAAGCACTTTTCAGATATATGCTTTTATTTCACTAGACCATATTCCATTCTCACCTACTGTTTTTACACTTCTAACTATGTTGATTTCAGCTGGATGTATGCTGTTGTGAATTAGATAAAAATCAGACCCAGAATGTTCAGCAGCAAACAGTTATAGTTTGTCAGCCATGAAGAAATGGCCTGCATTAGACAGTTCTGTACTGCAAGGGTGGCCAACCTGTGGCATGCATACCACAAATACCCAGGCAACCTCTGTGTGTCACATGCAGCAGACTGAGGCAGGAACAGAGAGCACAGAGACAGGTTAGGAAGCAGAGAGCAGAGCATGGGCAGAGGAAAGGGATTGGAATGGCACTCTGAGAGGATTCAGGGCTTATCTTGTGACATACCTGCCACAAAATTTGGCCTCCACTTCTGTAGTGTTTCAAAAGAGGGCACACCATAAACAGAAATAAACAAAAGCTCTTGTAGAGGGCGGGGTACCACTGTAGTTTGGGACACCTGAAGAAAGACTAAATTAATAACATACCTTAAAGTCTTCTCCAGAGTAGAGTGGTCAGACATGAGAGTGGGATCTGTTCATCAAATTGAAGACTTTTCAATTCCCTCCCCACTTTCTCTTGCCATATAGGTCATTACAAACACAGTCCCTACATGGAAACAAGCATAAAATAGGTAGCCTCCTTCTCCTCTTCTCAGCCTACCATCTTGAGATAAACACCACTGGTTCAGCATGGAGGAATGAAAAATAGTTGAATGTCCATAGCACTGTTTAGCCTGAGAAGGAAAGGTCTCCATCCTCACCCAAGCTGTTCTCCACAATAGCACAGAGTGGTCATGGATCATCCATATCTTCTTTCCTGCTATTTTCACCAAATCCACCAAATAGGAATTTTCACCAAATCCACTGTTATGTCTTGCTCTTCACACAACAGACGTAACATGGAGAAAACTGATGGGTACAGTTGGGTCCCAAACAACCATGTTTACTACATATACACAGACATGCAAGGCCTCACTGTACATACCTCTGGCTGACATCTGGCAGCTTCTAAAATAAAGAAAAGGGTGAAGTACCCTATGAGAGAGTTCACAAAATGTTTAACAGGATCCTGTCATATCCCACATTACACCCACTAATCTTACCATCTGTTGGGCTCTACTGTTTAGGCAGCCCTCTAGAGTTAACATGCTCTTACTGTTCAAGATCTTCCTGTGTTAAAAGAAATTAAGGAAGCTACAAAATCTGCTTGTACAATAATAACAGTGGGTGTTCTTAATGAAACCAGTGTAAGCGGGTTGAATGGCACATCTGGGATGGTTTTAAGAGAACTTGATACCATAGATGACTTCTATTTAAAGCTGCTTACTTTAGCATGTTGGATGGGTGAGGCTGAACTTAGCCATAGGAAAAAAGCAGGAGTCAATGCAGAAGGTGAATGTATGAGCTCTAACTGGGCAATATCGATCACTACCAATTTTGATTTGATATTTTTATAGTCAGGGATTTGCCTAGAATAAAGATGAAGAGATCCAATTGGGCAATAAGGGCTAACATTAAAGGAAAGAAAAGCAAAAACAAAAGCAAAAAACCCCTTGAGCCCAGAGTATTGGTCTGAAGGTAAAACAGGGAAACCTGATTACAAATACTGTTAATATGTTTAGTTGGGAGGGGAAAAGGGTGGAGAATGTGAAAGTTAAAAGGTAAAGTAAAAGCAGTATGTTTAAGTGAAGAAGGGCATGAATTTAGTGCAGGTAACAAAACAAGCTGTGACAAGAGAAATCCAGCTGAATAATATCAAAATACCAGTTATGAACGGTAAGGCCTAAATTGGAAATACTGGGGGAAATAGAGCAGGAAGCAAAGGCAAAGCCAACAATGAAAAGGCTCCATTGTACTGTTGAGGCAGCTTGTCTGTTTGTAGCTGTTCTAAAACTTCCAGAATGGTAAGGGCATTCGTGAGGATGCTGGAGTAGCAGAGGAGTTTCATTAATTCATTGTTAAAGATGATTGAGAAATTTCTGTTTCCAGCGCTCTTTTCAGAGGGCTATGGAGTACAGCCTTGATCGAGATTTAAGTCTTTAAGGAAGAAGTTATGGATCAGCTTGGAGTAAGTTGTGTGCAATAAATCATTGAGGCCACAGAGTACTCATTTGAGGGAAATTAAGTGTGAAAAAGCTGGGGTACTGACAAAACAGTGTATTATATGTGCTTAAACATAGTGATTATTCCTGAAGACTGATAAATCCACTAACAAGGTGAATATTTTTAATAAAAGAGTCAAGGAAGATCCTGGCAAGCCCTGCGTCAAACCAGTAAATCTCACCTCAGTCCTGGAAAAAAATAACTGAGAATATAGACTTGTATAGCATTTGGGGGTCATAGCTTGTGAACTGAGAGCCAAACTCACACAGGTTCTGTAAAGACAATGATGTTCTCTAACCTGTTAGGAATATTTGATCGAAGTAATCAGTAGACAAAGATACCCCAACATTCACCTGGATTTTGAAACAACTTTCAACAATCAGTTATTTTGCACTGAGCACTTTTTAAAAGAGATTAAGAAGTGAGTGAGTGTTTATTAGAACATCCTTTTTAAACAGAACTGAATAGAGTCATTTGTAAGAACAGGTGGCACAGTACAGCCTGTCATGACCCAAAGGGTATGATTTTGTGTGTGCTTCGGCACTGCAGAATTATTTCCCACCACATGGAGCTTCCTTTGCACGGTGCAATTCTCAGTTGCATAGAGAAAACCCCGGTGCAAAGGAGTTCCCACCACCCATATGTAAATTTGTTTCCCACTATTGGCTGTTTCTAAATTATTCCCACGTGGCGGCTCCGCGTGTGTCTTAGAGGAGGATACAGGGGCCTGATCAACCTCTAGCCTCTCCCCGTCGCCGCACAATCCCTCGACGTACCCCAACCTGCGCACTCGTGGAGAGTCACCTTTTGGACTCTCATTTCAGTCGTTCCACGGAGCCTAGCAAACTCCGTGAGTGGTATCCAGAGCTCTGTTCGTGTTCGTTTAGCGGAGCCTAGCAAACTCCGCTCGTGTGTCTTCGGTGGAGCCTAGCAAACTCCGCTTGTGTTTGTCTGTAACTGCAACTCAAGAAAGTTTTTCCTGCCTGCACCGCGACCACCTATGGTGTAAGTAAAACAATCTTTAATCAACCGCTACGCGTCAGTGCCTAATTCTAGTTCGCCGTGCCGACCTTTACCCCGGCCCACGTGCCCGGGCTGCTGGCCACAGCCCCTCGGCCCCGACACAGCCCAGTGCCATTTTAACAATAGTTGTGATAGAATTGGTCCTTGCATCAGTTTTTGCTGATGACTCTCCACTGATTTTAATGGATTTACTACAGCTTTACACCAACATAAGCAAAAAAGGGAGGCGGTCGACTATATCCACATTGTTCCTGGTTTCTGGGAGATCATCCTTTTTTTTTAAGAGTCTTTCTTTTTTTCTTTAGTAATCACGACTATTCTCTTTCCGTTACAAGGTACAAAGACTTGGACCTGAATTGGCAGAGTACCTATTGTGCTGGTGCTTAAGGAGAGCATCCAGGAAGAGCACACACCAACTGCTGCAGCTTCCTGAGCCTGACGAAGGGTTTTTGAACCCGAAAGCTTGCTTAATAACTATTCTCCAACCATTTGGGTTGGTCTAATAAAAGATATCAAATTCACCCGATGAACCTTGTCTGCCTATATCCTTAGACCAACACGGCTACAACCTAAACCCCTGGTGCTTAAGGAAACACTTTATAGCAGCTTTGGATAAGTTTCTCTTGGCTGTGAGAGTAAAGGAAATCGGGAGGAGAATGCCTGCACAAAGGAGGGAAACCCACCAAAGCTGGTCATGTTCTTTCCTTTTTTAACAAAGCTGGCCTATCACGTTACAAATTTAACATTTAAAGATACAGCCAATCCCCTAAGGTTTATGTAACAACAGTTATTTCTCTTCCATCAGCAATGCTCCCTTAACCCAAGTCAGTTGCTACAGTCTTGCATTGTTTTCTTCTCTTCCTTGCAGTCTCTAGCAGCTCCTTTACATTTCATATTAAGCTTTTGTGTCTCTTCATCTCTACATGTGACCTCCTTAATAAGTCACCTCCTTTTTCTCTTGAGAACTCTGCATAATACAAAGCTCACTATTTTCTACCTGTCTGCTTCTGGACTTTAAATGTATTCCAAATCTGTTTTTAACTCAAAAGCTTTTCACTTACACTGTGAATTACCCTTGCTGTGTGGACCCAGGACTGAATTAAATGGATTGGTTCCAGGGAAAACAAATAAATGGGAAGGAAGGAAAGGGAGGAGAAAAGGGAAAGCATCAAAGAAGAAGAGAATGAGATAACAGATTAAAAGGGAAATAGCCAATAAACTGTGAGTTTTGCCGGTACTACCATTTCTGAATATGAGTGAAACATTATCTTTATAGATAAAAGACATGAAGAATTGGAGTCTTGCTGCCAATTACCTTCCCTAAGCCTGCTACCATATGAAAACCCTGCATCCTGCCACTCTATCAAGCATTAACTTTTGACTTGAATGAATAGTTGAAGCAAACAGCCGGAAGCCAATCAGAGGAGAGAACTTAGCTCTACTTGCCACATACAAGTATTTATTCCTCAGATCTTGATTGGTGCTTGGCTTTCTGTGAAGTGAAAAGAGAGCTGACAGTTGGCATGCTGTTTGGACCCAGCAACCATAGGCAGCAGTGCCAGAGGTGAGGCAACAAGGAAAAAAGCAAGAAGGTGGATAAGTAAATAGAAAGAAACATTAAGCACAATTGAAGCAATGAGGAGATTAAACTCCAACTTCCCTCCATCCCTATGAATTTTCTACTTAGCTCTAGCTGGAGAGGAGAAAGAATGTCCTCATGGTAAACATGCTAGCCTGGGGTATGGGGAGATCCAGGTTCAGTTTTCTGCCCTTCCAGTGACATCCTATGTAACCCTGAGCAAATCACTTTGCCTCTTTCTCATGGGGAACATGTGGGTCCCACCAGATCACTTGTAATCTTGCATTTCTAGAACCCCTTTGACACCAATATTACATTGATCTAAGAGAGCCCATTGCACAGATACACACGTACCTGGCAGGGGAAATACCGTGACCACTAAGGCGGTTTTCCTAGTCACTGGGGATAACTGCTTTTCTGGCATGGGGTAGTATCCATAGAGGTAATGTATCTTTACCCTCCCACTTTCATTTCCAGTGGGAATATCTTGGCTTTATGCCCATTTTATTGAACTGGGGGACTCCTCCCTAGCTTGCTCCTAAGGCCTTATGATTGAGGGCAAACAAAACCCAGGGGCATCCAAACCCCAAGCCTTCAGGCTTGGGCCTGCATGTAGGATGCCCACCAAATGATTTGGCAATATCTGAAGCCCCAGGTGGGGGTGGAGGATGTTTGCCTGCAGTAGGGCCATATATGGTTCTTGAATGACTCATGGATTTGGAATTGGTTTGGCTGATTTGGCTTGGAACACGAACGGTTTTCCTTAAAAAAATAAAAAATAAAGTTACATTGATTAGGTAGACACAAAATGAATGAGCTTTGGCTGGAATTCAGCAGGTCTATGCGCAGCACTTGAGATTTTCAGGATCATGCCTTTGTAGTTCTATTTAGAGAGGGGAAAATGTGTGGCTTCACAATTTGGATATGCTCAGCCATGAGAGTCAGTGGTCATTTAATTCAGCCCTATCAGTAAAAAGGAAATAGGAGTGAGCAGTCATGGATGAGAACGAACCCATCTCTGTTAAACTGTGGCCCACCCTATGGGGCTTGTCAGCACAGCTACTGGAGCAGTTGTATTTACATGGCTTTGGAATCCAGGGGGTGAATGCTACTCATCCCCTCTCCCCCCGACTCCCTTGCCCACTGGCCAAATTTAAGGTATTTGGTCACCATTGGCAACTGAAAATGGCAGTAGGAGAAAAGGAGGGGCAAGCGTTCATGGTGGTCATCTCGGGCTGTGGAGCTGCACAAAGGCAGTGGGTCTTGCAGCTGTGCTACCAAGTCACTTCCCCACCATCAGTGGTGTCTCATCCAGCCTGCATGTTGTTGTTGTTGTAAATACAAGAAATCTGGTAAATACAGGAACTATAAATATCAAGATGATCAGTTAACAGTTTTGGAAACCTAAAAACATTGATGATCTGGAAAATAATTAGTTTGGGATTTCACTGCTTGATTATATATTAAGAACAAGTCCAGAAGCTTCCCAAATGCTGTCATTTTTGCAGAAAGCTGCTGATTTCTTCCACTTGATATGAAGCTAATGTAACTTTTTGTGATTGACACAGCTGGCAGAACCTTGACTTCCCTGCGGTGAAATGGAAGGATGATTGAAGTGTCTAATAGAATAAAGAAGTAAGGGATAATTTGAGCTTCACAGGACAGATGCTCAAGGGAACAAAAATAATGTTAATGAAATAGACAACTGAGTGAGAATATCACTTTGGTTGCATAACAGGATTTTTGTGTAGAGCTCCAAACACCAATGTAAAACTCACATTAAAAATCACATTGGGAAATTGACACCACATTGCTGCTCACATGCTTCCTCTTCACATTGTTAGTCACGCTGCTTAACCAGACTAAAGCCAGCTGAAGAAAACTAATCTATCTCATTTCTATTTTACATGCTATTGTCAGATGAAGACAGATAATGCAACACTTTAATGGTTGCAGGGCTAAGTATTGCTTTTGGTGTAGGAAATGGAAAAAAAGTACAGCTTCCCCAAAGGAATCCCCTTGGGTTTACAAAAATATTCAAGGTAGAAATGCAGGAACTGCAGTCCCAAGGCAGATCGTGTAACTGTGATAACCAAACTTGCAATACTTCAGCTTTTCATAGACCTGGGCACTTACAAACCTAGGAGTTAGAGCAAAACATGTGTGCATAAAACTTAAAATAAGAAAAATGGGATTAATTTGCTTTCAGTTACATTTTTGTCAATGGAGTTACATTGGGGAACATTGATATGAGAGAAGGAGTTTCTTTTTTAAGGAGTTGCTTTATGTGCTCAAGCTATTCTAGTCACAGCCGCAATAAAATCACTGTAAACTTGATCAAATGTTTGTGTTGTGCATCTATGACACATTTTTCAATCACTGAATAACTGCATTATTTTCTATTACATTAACCTTAGCCAGGACTAGCTGTGTGAAAAGGTTTCATTGGATAAAGTTAAGCTAGCCATGCAGAGAAAATCATTGCAATTTATTTCAGCCAAACTGAAAAAAGTATTTTGTTTACTGTAAGTTAACTCAGAATGATGCTGAAGTACCTGAAACTCAAAGTTTCAGTCCAAAACTCCAGGTGTTGTGTGTGCGCGCGCACATGTGCATGCACGTGTGTGCGCGCGCACATGTGGGGCTGTGTGTATACTAAACCAAGTTTCTCGTGAACCAAATTTTATTCTATTGTAGTCTATTCTAGTTCACATAATTCTTTAACTGCATAGTATCTGAACCCTTCCTGCAGTACATTAAATTATATGACTGGTACTTGCTTCTTGTGATTTTTTTTTTTTTTTACTCCCCACCTCCTGTTTTTATTTTCCAAGGAGAAAAGTCTGTGAGATAGGATTGGCTCTCTACGGATAGGTGAGGTAGCATTGGTACTATATGGATAGGTGAGGGGTTGCCTGGACATTTATGATAAGAATTCCTTTGGTTATGATATTTAAAAGGAGTCATTATGGAGGGAGCCCCTCTTAGCAAGAATCACACTGGGAAGGATTACTCAGAGGGACACTCATTGAGTACAGTGCTACTTAGTGTGTGTAAGAGTGGCAGGATCCGGTTCAAAATAAACATTTATGGCCAGTTTTTTCAAAAGAGCTCCGATATGTCACCATTCATGCCATAATGAGAAGGGCTGCATGCTAAGTGCTCCTGAAAATCTGGCCCTTATTTAGGTCCCTACATGTGAGTTTGAGCTCTCTTGAAAATCTCTCTCTAATTGTGGGTCCTGAACATTTGGAAATCTGGCCCTGCCATCCACAGCCACCATCACATTACTCCCAGTTTTATACCACTGTGAGCTCATTGCTTTTAATGACATCACACCCCCAGCAAACTGGAGCAGCACAATGGCACAACTGATCTTTCCCGCATTTATAAACCTGAGCGTGTGTGTGTCTGTGTCTGTGTATTTTTTTAAAGAAAATGTTTTTGAAATATTACCCTGTTGCATGAGTCTGGGCCGCTTCTGACTGTCTGCCAGCTCCCAGATTAAATATAAGTCATTTCAGAATGTTTTCCTCACATGGGAAAGGCTGCAATGGTTTGGTGTTAGTTTTGCCCTCCAACATTAATTCTAATTACCTCAAAATGCAAACATGCTTGAGTTTCCAGGAGATGACATTATTTTCTCTTTGGCATCAGACATCAAAGAAAGAAAAATAAACATGGGACAGTGACAGCAGTAAGCCACTAGTCATTTTTCAGAAGGGTTTTCATGTTCTATCCCAGACTGGTTCTTCTCTAAATCTTGTCCTGGTGATTAGGGTGGGGGAGTATTGCACAGTTGTAGTTTCCAGTTTTCTTTACATAAGAGGGAGGTGGCGGGGGGAAGAGGGGGAGAAACTGTCTGGTTTAGATCAGGGTTAGAGTTTTGAATTTTTAGACACACTTGAATTTCTTTATATTTTTAGCTTTCTTCCAAA